AACTTCCTGTGAATTGTTGGGCTAAAAGCAATCATTCTGTCTAGCAAACGAACAAGCCGTGCTTCCCACGAGGCTAAAATAACACACCTCACTGGCTTTCTTTGTTTTGTTTTCTTAAGTAGGCGACTTTATGAAGTAAAACAAGGGGCCGTAATGGTTCGCAAGTAGGGAAATAAAATTCTCTTTTAAAAACTACCTAAACACAACAGCCACGAAAGAGTAGAACTACTCCAGAGGGTTTCACAAACGAAACCTTTACACGAGGCAGAAAGCCTCATCTTTGTGTGGTGGAGCGGCTGGTGGGTTTGAACTGCCAACCTTTCAGTTCGTAGCCCAAGGCCTGCAGGATTCCTTAAACTCTAAACGTCAACCAAAAAAGCCTGCTAGTCATAACATGCAACTTTAACTTCTCTACTCGAACAGTAAACTTCAGAGCATTTGTAATTCCACACATTAGTCGTGGCCATTTTAACTTTGGCTACCATTTTGAATTATGCGTTAAGTAAAAATTCCACTGACCTGCCAGAAGAAAGGCTCCGTTCTCAAAGCTCGCCGGAATGGAATAGCACGGGGGCTCTGCAGCAGGCCTATTTAAAGAGTAGTGTCACGTGCCCTTTTGGCCACGCCCCTTGTATTTTGCCTGTCCATAATCTACATATTTCAAAATGTCTGAAAAGTACCTTGAAATGGTGCTTTATAGTCAACCTATATTTTATTATGTAGAGACCGCCCTCCCAAATAAAGGGACCCTGGCGCTTCAAGCCCACCAGGCACTCCATGGGAAAAAGATAAGGCTGTCTGCTCTCCGAAGATTTAGCGTCCAGAAACTGATCGGGAGCGTGAGCCTTTACCCACCCGACGGCAGTGAGGTGCTGGCACAGTCGTTCAGCGTTGCCTCATCTGCTTTTCAGCTCTTGGAAACCCGAAATGACAGTAAAACTGCCCCCGTGCGGTTTTCCTCTTTGTTGTGAGGGACCGAGGGGATGGCGGTGGTGGGGTGGGTATATTTCAGAAGGAAAATTTATTCCAAACACACATGCTTCTCTCCTGATGGCCTAGTGGTTATGCGTTTGGCGGTGATTGATCCACAAGTCAGCAGCTCGAAACCACCAGCCGCTCGGTGGAAGAAAGATGGCGCTTTCTACTCCCGTCAGGAATTATAGCCTTCTGACCATTTTTTTTGGGGGGGAATGTTCTAAAATGGATTGTGGTAATGATTGTACAACTATTCTTGGTGTGATTGAACTATTGTATTGCGTGATATGTGGATCAACTACCAATAAAACTGTAAGAAAAGAATTAGTCTCCGAAACTCACAAGGGCAGTTCTCGCCTGTACTATAGGGTCGTTGTGAGTCCGCGATGACTGGAGGGCAAGGAGTTTTCTCTTCCCTACTTAGTTGTGGGGGAAAAGAGGCAGGGGGAGGTAGGAAGTTCAGTCAGGAGTAACAGATGCGCTTCCAATAATAAGGTCTTGCTTTGGGGTTCATGAAATTGGGTAAGAAGCAGTATTTACATTCTACTACACTGCTCCTGGACTATTTTTTGACTCGGTTCTTTTTC